TGAGGGTTTGACCATGTTTTAAATTAAGGGACTAATACGCTGAATGGAGAAGTAGTTTAAACTTGAAATAATGTCAAAAACAAGTGTTGGGACTTTTGTATACTCCCTCTGTATTCTAATGTTTGCTACACTTTCCTTTTTGGGATGTATTTAAAAGTTTGTTACACTTCCATTTTTGGTAAGTTTACCATTTATAAAATACTCAACTACCCTTACTTTATGTTCCTTTTATCTTCTCTTTCATACTTTTACACTTTCTCTTACTTTTTCAACACTATTCACTACCTCTACTACTTTGCTTCTTAAATAATGTACCAAATCAAATGTAGTGAACATTAAAATACGGAGGGAGTACATAAAAATAGGACCATTTTTGTGAAAGACAAAAAAAGAGACCAAGCTTCTGTGTTTGAGCGACAAAGGAGCATCTCCAACGAGCTTCTGTGACAAACCTTCACGAACAAAACACCGGCGCCCCTGCCTCCACCCCGCGTCTCATAGCCTGTCGCCCCGTCCTCTGTCGTTGATGGCTAACAACGCCGACACTGAAAGTGGTGGTGCGAACTTCATCCATCCGACGAAGAGCTTTTCGTACCATGGTGTTTGGGCTAAATCCAATAGTCAACAACCACTTTGGTGGTTGTGGCAAATTTGTTGTTCACCTTGGGTCTGAACAAATCCGCCGTTGACATTAGGTTACGCAGATTTGGAATTTTTGGCCTAGAGAAACGGGACTCTGAGCAACTTAGGAGGAGGATGAGAAAGGATGCCATCGAGAATGGGAGGGGGATTAGGAAGGGGACGGGCTGAGAATGGGAGCGACTGGGAAGTGGGCCGGCCGTGAAGGGTAGGGGCTGGCGGGGAAGGGAAGGAGAGATGGAGCTTGGGGAGGGGAATGGGGTTGGTAACTGTCATATTGGTGTTGGCTGGGTTGGTGCTGTCCGAGTTGGTCATTACTCATTAGTCGAGTTGGTCACTAGTCAAGTTGGTCTGGATCCTGATTTTGGGTAATTGGTCACTCGTAAAATTGGTCATAACCAGGGGTGTAAATGAGCCAAGCCGCTCGCGAGCTGCTCGTGGATCGCTCGGAAAAAGCTCGACTCGAGTTCGGCTCGACTCGAATAGTTAACAAGTCCAATTCAAGCCTATTTATTTTAGTCTCGTGGCTCGCGAGCCGGTTGACGAGCCTTTGTGTCATACTCCGTATTATATATATATAATAATTATATATGTAATGATTATATATACCATCGTATATACTTTTTCGGAATGTGTATTCTAATTTAGGGTCATTCCATTTTCAATACTTATCACGTAGTATATTATAATAGTAATAGTCTACAATAATTATAATATGTCCATAGTATTATACTATTATTATAATCATAATCTGTATTAATTATAATATGTTCCTGTAATATTTATTGAAAATAAAATAAAGAATAAAGATGTCAATAAAGGAGATATAACCAAAAATGAGAATGAATAAGTACACATATTATACTTTTAGTTCGAGTTGGGGCATCTTATTCGAGTTCAAACCTATAAAATTTAATTAGCGAAACTTGACCCGTGCTCGAATTGAGCTCGAGCTGAGCCCGGCTCGAGTTCGAGCCCGAATTATTTAACTCGTCCAAGCTCGAACTCGAGCTCGTGATTTCTTATCTAGCTCAAACTCAAGCATACCCATGTTCGGGCTCAGTTCGATTGTACCCTTAGTCATGGCCACTCATTGGGTAATTGGTCACTATTCGGGTTGGTTACTGATCGGATTGGTCATGGTCACTCATCGAGTAATTGGTTAATGATTGGATTGGTCATGATCACTGATTGCGTAATTAATGACGGGTCGGACTGATCATGATCATTGTTTGGGTGATTGGTCATTGTCGAATTTGTTATTGGTCAAATTAGTCATAATCACTAATAGTAGTTTAGTCTCATTTTTGGAATTTTTAAATGTAGTCATATTTTTATCCATATGATTTATTTTTGTATTAATTTTGTAAAACCCCTTGAAATTTCCATAAATAGTTTTATTATTATTATTATTATTATTATTATTATTATTTATTAGATAAAAATATTCTTATAGGTTTAGATCTGCCACTCATAGGCTGCCCAGGTCGCTGGACCACATCTTGCCACTGGACTGCCGATCGTGGTTGTCACCGTTGTGCCACTATGAACTGATACGTCACCCACAAACAGACATTGATAATGCAAGGGAACTAGAGTGCAATGAATTAGGTTAATTAATTAAATTTTGAGTAGACATGAATTGAGTAATCTTATGAAAGAATGACTAAAGTAAGACCCCATCCTTTCAAAAGACAAAATTAGAACCTAATTCCAAATTGGCCAAAAATGAGACCAAATTAAAAAGAAAGGCGGAAAGGACCAGCAACACAAATCCAATCGGCCACCCACTCTCCTCATCAGTGCACATCTACAGTTCTCTTATACCCCTGGGGCGTTGCACCAATGTCGACGAACGATGTAATTGCCGCCACCGGGCTGCAGAATGTCGTGCTCTTCGCCGCCGCCTCACATTGTGCTCTTCGTCGCCTCTGTATTCCATCTCCACCCCGTCTTCCTCCTCATCTATTTCTTCTTCTGGATCTGTTCTTTCAAAGAACTAGGGTTTCAAATCCGAGTGATACGACAGGTGGCAAGGGTTCCACCTAATGGGAGAGTGTGGCGGGAGCACGACAAGGGTTCGATAGAGTGGCTGGTCGGAGATAGATCTGGCGGCGAGGTATGGTGGTCTGATGAAGCGGTTGAACGGGACGGGGACGGGGATGGAGGGTGAGAAGAGGTATGGTCGGCGGTGACAGGGGGGTTGGAGGCTGTTGACGGGGTTAGGGTTGGGGTTGCGGTTGCGGTTGGGGCTGGAGACGAGATGGGAAGAGCATGTGGCTGAAGAGGGGAGGGTCTGGTGGTCACTGACGAGACTATTGGGCAGCGCCGGTGGTGGCTGGCGGCGGTTACTGGCGGTGGCGTAGTCGGCAGCAGTTACTAGGATTGGTCACTATCGGACATGGTAACTGTAACGAGCCGTTTTGGGTTATTGTAATCGGACAGTTTGGATAATTGTAACTGTAACTGGACGTTTTGATAACTGTAATAGTAATTGGACGGTTCGGGGAATTTAATTTATCGGATCGGGTAATTGTAACTGATCGAACCGGGTAACGGTAACTGGTTGTATTAGATAAATGTAACTGGTCGAGTTGTGTAACTGTAACTGATTGAACTATGTAACTGTAACTGGACAGGTCAGGTAACTGTAACTGAATGATCGAGTTAGTGTAACTGGATTGGATGATGTTGGTCACTGGACGAGTTGACGTTGGTAACTAGGTAGGATTTTTGGTCACTAATGATTTTGGTCACTAACGGATTTTTTGGATTTTTGGTCACAAATGATGTTTGGTCACTGGCGGATTTTGGTCACTAATGATTTTGGTCACTGACGGATTTTTTGGATTTTTTCTCACAAAAGATGTTTGGTCACTATAATGTTTTTGGTCACTGTGGCGTTACTATAGCACCAATGGGTGAGATTCTATTAATATAAGGGTATAATAGTCTCGTAACCTATTTTTAGTCTCTTTTTTGGAAAATAGAAAAAAAGATCCCTTTTTTTTGTCTAAAGCTCTTTTTTTAGGAATATTTTAGACATAACCCCAATCTTATCTAAGAACCAAACATAAGACTATTTTTGCAAATTACGTTTCTATCCTAAAATTTATACGCAACAAGGAAATTATGTTTTGACAGTCATTAAACCCCAAATTTTGAATACGAGTAGAGAAAATTGCTCCGTATAGGATCGATTCATACCAGTTTTACAAAAAGAGGACCTAGAATTGTTTCTTCCATACGTGCCACTTATTTTGTTCTATTTTAGTAAACTTGGTTTTGAATTCCCTCTTTTACCCTTTTATATATTTATTAAATTTCCCCCAAATTAAAGATGGCATGCCCACTTACGATCGGAAGCTTTACGCTCCATCGTGCTTCCCCATCTAATCTCCTTGCTCAAGCTCAGACATGGCCAACCACGGTTCTAATCTCCATCGGAGCTTCAGGGAAGACTTCACAGTTGTCTTCATTAGAGACTCACCAGCTCAGATCTGCTTTGTCGATAGGTTCCTCCTCCATCTCCGGCGTCCAGCTATTCCTCCATCTCCGCCGCCTAATCCTTCCTTCACTCTCCAGCAGCGCCTCCTTTTTTCTCCGATTAACAGTCGCCACTTCAAAGGGATATGAGGTAATTGATTCATCATCTTCTTCAATTTTCTTCTTCTCCTCTTACGTCTCATCTCCCTGTGCTCTGTTTTCTTCCTCTTGTTCTTAGATCCTTCTCATCACTTAATTTGTTTAACTTTCCAAATTCTAAATTGAAGAATTACTTATTGTCTGTTTAATGACTGCTTACTGTCTATGTATTGTCTGCTATTGAGCTATTGTTATAACTTATTGTCTGTTTAATGACTACTTATTGTCTAGTGTTTGCAAGTTTGATTTTAAATCTGGTTTCTTCAAAAGTTTTGCAGAGTACCTGGTGGCCTTGTTAAAATATGATATAGAAGTTCGAAATTGGCAAAATCAATGTCCAAAATCAGAAAAGAAGAAAAAGAAGAAGAAGAGGAGGAGGAGGAGGAGGAGGGAGAAAGAAGAAGAAACCTCTTGTGGCGGCGTCCGGTGGAGCTAGTGCGTCGGCAACGGTGAAGTCGATCAGCGGCGGCGGTGATGGCTCAGTCGATCAATCTGAAATCGAGTTTGTGCGCATGCCGCACGGGAATGGGTCTAAAGTGTGAGTAGGGCATCGATCGATGGAGTTTGTTTGTGCACAAGGGATTTAAAAGGAAGCGCAATTTGGTCCAAGCAGGTGTAGTTAAGTCTTAGGCTAATCTATAGTCTTAATTTTGGAAAATTAGTATGATTAGATCTTACTTGTTGACATCTCCCACACGACTCACACGAGTAGGGGAGGCATCCCCAAATTTCTCAATATTCTTATCTTAAACCCCACCTGATTTTTAACATAATAACGATCACCTACAAAACCCTGCTAAGACAGACGCTACATTGCAGTTAACCATGGCCGCCACATCTAGATTCCTTCGGTTGAATAGAACCCACCTCCAGTCCCTCCATCTCTTCCGTCCCCCAATTGCAATCGGAACCCGAAACAAGCTGATCGACATCTCCGCTGGTTCTCCATTACCGAGCACCAACTCTGTAGCTTCTGAACTTCTGTTGTGCGCCGACCTCCAACCTGCCGGAAAAATCCATCCTCGAATCAAGATCCGCGATAGGCTCTTCCGCAGTAAATATGATAATCCCGATTTTGGTCAATATGGCCCATATACCTCGGACGATGACCTCGGTTATGGTAGTTCAATTGATGAGGGTCTTTACAGCGATTCAAGTGATGATGATGATGACGACGACGACCACAACTTTAAGGTAAGATTTGGATTTTGGAGGAACTGTTTAGCAATGCTATAACCAGGTTCAGTTCTAATATGAGCTACTTCGTATTAATTGTTTTTCCTTACAGTTCCATCTAGGTAGAATCCCTTGAGCAAGATTTTGAGTTTAGACTGTTTAGTTGCTAACATTTTGATTTTTTGACAAGGCACATTTTTCTGGAATTTTACTTTTGAAACATGTTTTCTAAACATAAAACATGTTTTCTAAACCTGCCGTCCGGCCGAGGGCATTTCGGGCACTTCCTGGTAGGATTGTTTTTTAGCATGTTCTTCATCAAATCTAGTTTATGTTCAAATATTTTTTTGAAGACGGTCAAATATTTTTTTGAAGATAATTGTGCAGTTTATACAATATTTAACATTGCAGTTATCTTCAAAAAATTATTTGACTGTCTTCCCGAATGAATTTTTAGATGAAATTTGTTATGCATGAAGAACATGCTCAACAAATTTCATCAAAAAATTCCACTGGGAAGGGCCAGAAACAACCTCGGCCGGACGGCGGTTCCCTGTCAGGCCGGCTAGACAAGAATTGGACTCTATAAGTAATACTACTACGTATGTTGTACGGAGTACTACTTGACTACGAAGTATTAAAGAACAAATGAAGTAAACAATAAACAATTTTCGACGCGATTTTCGTCATTGATTATCGGAAACAAATTTTATGTGTTTTAGTACAACGGTAAGGTTGCATACATCTGACGGACTGACTCCATTACTTTATAGGTGGGAGCCATTGTGGCGCTGGGATAATTTGTTGTATTATAAGCTTTCGTTTGGCTTGGTAATTAAATGTTTATTTATTTTGATGACTCTAATGTAGAATGGTCGAGATGACCAAGATCCCCAAGGAAAAGGTAAAAGGACAACCAAAAAGAAGGGAGGAAAAGCATAGCAGCCAATGGGAAGTTGAATGCCCGAAGTTAGAAATGTCTTTCACTTGTTTAAACTCTAGATAGTCAACCAATTTTCTCAGTCTTGAGGCTTTTTTTATAGTTATTGAGGGTTAAATTGTTACTACATTGCTACTAAAGCTAATAATGCATCGTTTGGGTTTGGGGAGTTTAATTCTTAAACTATATTTGGATTATGGAGATACTCTGTAGTCTGTAATGACTTCAACAAATTCGTTTATATTCCGGTTTTGTGTTTGAATTTTCCTTAATGTTGCTGATATAATAATGTACTGTTAACATGGCAATCGTTTATGCATGTTTTTTTTGTTATTGGACCTTCAATATTTGGAGTTCTTGCATTCAAAGAAATAATTTTACAACCATTCCTGTTTATAATATTTGTTTGTATTTGTAAGATGAGATATTCCCTTAATCACAATGCAAACTTGCATATCTGTTTTTGGAGTGTCCGAAAAACTTCGGTGCCATTTGGTAACACCCCTTTTCGGCTTATCAGGCAACTTTTCCACCAAACACGTAATTTTTGCTTTAGCGTGCTGAATTGTGTAATAAGCAGAAAAAGTAAGGTTGGAGTTACTTTTCTGGCTGTATTGGCTGAAGTTACTGTAGATGACCATTTTAGCTATTTTTACATATAATTTTTTCTTTATTTTATTAATAAAATATATTTAAAAAATATTTTTTTCTTAAATCAGCAGAATCAGCCAATGCAGCCACTTCAGCCAGAACTTCAGAAATTTCAGCAGAATCAGCCAAACCAGCCGATTTTCCTTCTACCAAACGGGCTCTTCATTTCTTTTTAAGGAAGAATTGTGCGATTTGTTTTCTTTTTCTCACGCGCAAAACTAAACGAAAACTTAATTAGGGGACAAAAGAAGTAACAATTTATTCATTTAAACGAACTTATTCAAGGGATGAGAAGATTGAAAACAACATACGTAGTATTTGAAACTGTGTTATGAAATATGATCATACTCCACAATCCTGTCACCAAATTGAACTAGTTAACACCAAAACCCGGTTGAACTTAGACCAATCCTAATCAATCTTAGAGAGTGTCTGCAATTGCTTCAACTTAAAAAAAGTGATTTTTTAAAGTGATTTTAGGAAAAATGATTAATAGTAAAAGTTGGTAATGTTTGAGAAAAAAGTGATTCTGAAAAAGTAAAAGCTGGTAGTGTTTGGTAAAATAAGTACTTTTTGAGTAATAGAAAAAGAAAAGCAGTTTAAAGCACCCGTCTACCTGCTTCTAGCTTTTAGCTTTTAATTAATTAATTAAAGCAGGAGTTATCATTTGAAAACACTCTTTTTAACTTTTTTTAAGCCAAAATCTGAAAATCGTTTTTTTAAGCAACCGCAAACACTCCTTTATACTTCGTATAGTCTATAATTTCCTCTTCTCCTATATCTTTTTTTTCTTCTCTCCTTCCTATGAGTCAACAGGAAAATTCCGATGAAATATAAAAAGTAATAATGAAATGATACTTGACTAATCGCGAATAAAACAATTTGATAGATTAAATAGTAGCTCTATCGAAAATATGTATTAGAACTTTTAAAATATTGTTTTCTATCTTCATTATTCTAGAACTTTGAAAACATGCACTTTTAATTTCAAAATTGTAGTTGTTTGACTTATTTCTCATTTTAAATTAATGACTTATTGACTATATTTATATTTCGAGATGCACAGTTGTATATGAGATAAAATATGAATTTATTTCTAAGTATCTTGAAAATGTAAAATTCTTAAATGTCATGAATGTGTAGACGTCAGAGGATAATATATTAATATGTATATTTTAAAAAGAAATTGTATTCTTAATATTTTTAAATACACCCATCATATAACTTTTAATATTTATAAATACACTCCCATAACTTTTAATATTTATAAATATGACTCTATACCTATATCCTACTTTTTTGGGAATTTATCATAAGTAGACTAGAAAGGGTAAATAATTTCACCTTTTTCACTTTTCAAACTTTCTACTCCGTATAAAAAATGGACTATACGGAGTATTGGCCACTTGATTCTCTACTGCTCCGTGCTATAAATACACCCCGTACACTCAATATTTGTTTTGAAATAGAAAAAATGTAAAATTCAATAAAGAGCCAACAGTTCATAATAAGTGGAAAAATAACAAAATTCTAATAAGTAAACATTTGTTTAAAACATTCCCACAAGCATAGTAAAAGTTGATAAAAATGAGAACTTGTAAATTAGATTTTAAAAACTTTATAAATAAATCAGAAAACGTGTAAAATAAGTATATAGCAAATTTGGAATACAGATATCCAAAATAAAAACGAAAAACGTTTAAAATAGTTTAAAATGGAAAATTGTAAAAGAAACGTAATATGAATTTAATGATTATAAAATATAAATAGTAGTTAAAAATTGCTAGAGTAATTTTTTGATATTAGAATATATACTATCATCCAATACAATAAAAATGACTCTAAAAAATCAAATAAATATATAAAATTTGAAAACATTCAAATTATAAAAAGAGTTCGAATTCTACTTTACCAATAAAAAGAAAATATAAAATAAAATATTAAAATTTTATAAAATGAGGAAAAAAGTAAACTAGAAACAGTTTAAAATATAAAAAGCTGGAATGAAATTGAAATAAGTAAAAAGTTAAAACTAAATAAAAAATGGAAAAACCTAAATATTTGGATTTTGTAATTTAATATCTTCTTGTAAATAGCTACCGAATTCAATTGTTGTTATTATAATTTCATTGTTACTTTTTGTTGCATATTGTTTCTTTGTGTTTATTGTTGTTGATTACTTTTAAAAGTTTTGTTTCTTATTTTTTGTTTCTAGTTGTTTATTTTCATAAATCAAAATTTATCATTTTTGTGTTTGTATATAAAACTATATAGATATTTTGGTTTTAAAGAAGTAGAAAAGATAAACTGAAACCTAAATAAACATAAAAAGTCCACTTCTACAATAAACAATAATAAGCAATACAGTACAACAAAAAGCAACGTGGTGCAACAAAATGCAACACGATGAAACAAAATGCAACATGATGCAACAAAATGCAATACAAGTAATGCAACAAAAAACAACAAAAAGCAACAAAAAACAATATATAAAAGTATCACACCAAACACACAATTAAATCTACTGTTTCAATTTACTAAATTTATCTAACAGTACTATATTATTTGGTCTTGCTTTTTATCATTCCTTCTTTGGTATATCGCCCTTACAAACATCAGTGTTTGTGTGCCTCATTAATTCTCTGCCAATCTGGAATGTGATTCATATATTATTGATTTTCCTTGTCGATGCTATTTGATGACACTTCAATTCCTTCCTACAAAATACCAATCTTCATGTGAAGAATAACCCAACCATAACAAACTAGTGAAGAACCATCTCCCACTACACCGCATAAACTCACTTGAAACACTGAAGCAATTCCAATAGTTTAAAAAAGTAAATCTATAGATAATAGATTCAACATAGCGAGCACTAAGAACGACACATTTTTTTGGGAACATTCATCAAAACTAGCAAAGCTTATTTTTTGAACTACAACAAGATGAATAATACCCATTCCCGTGCATTCTCTGTCAAGTCTCTCTTAAGAAATCTTGACAATAAATTCCTTTTCGTTTTTATGTTTTTATTATGAGTGAAGATGAAGAAACGTGAATCATGAAGTGCCTCAACCCCTAAGTACTGCAAGTTTATATGTTCCTATAAATATAAAAATCAATATTGTTTAAGAAGAGAAGTGAAAATACAGTACAGAGACATACAATAAGGGGAGCATATGGAGATGACAAGTCAAAAAAGAAGGCACAAGACATATGGGTGCATATGGCTTAAAAACTTTAAATAAGTGTAAAGAATAGATCACCATGAATATGCAAACCAAAATGTACCATATATAGTGTACCATATGATTTAAAAGAAGTTCACAGAAAAAATTATGCAATTCAGAAGAAAGAGAAATTCTGGAAGAAAGACAAATTATGGAAGAAGGAGATTAGATGCAATCCATCTTCCAAATATTCATCATTCAATTAATTTAAGAAATCAATTCATTCACACATCCAATTCACAAAAGAGAACACATCTTTCTAGCTAGAATACATATTTCAACTCATTCACACACTGATAGGTCTCCAGAGCTTTTTCCTATTCTTTCATGAAGAACTGAGTAGCACCCTTTATAGTGTAACCCTTTGCAAATATAGGATCAAGTTCAATGCATTTTTCAGTGTCTTTGAGCCCCTCAGGCAATGCCCCAAGTTTGGTGTAGCTACCAGCCCTATTGCTATATGGCTAAAAAAGAGTCAAAGAGAGCACTAACATTACGTAAGGAAGTTTGCTCCCTCCTTTAAGGTTTGTACAACAATGATGTCAATCTTCAGTTTTTGAACTCTACTAGTCTTCCCGTATCCTACAGTGTTGTTTAAATGGTCTGCACACATTCATAGTATGTAAAACATGTACAAATCTCACGTACAAGTAGGGGTGGGCGCGGTCCGGTCCGATATTTGGCCAAACCCGTATCCGTACTGTTACTGTTCAACCGGTTCGGTTCGGTCCTAGACCTAAACCCATTCGGTACGGTTCCATTTTCAAACGGGACGGTACCATGCCATACCAATACCAAACAATGCCACTTTTTTCAAGTGTTTAAGAGAAATTAAAGTTTAGACATCCTCCAAAAATCCACACATTTTATCAATTTTCATACTCCCTCCGTCCCAAATTGATATGCAAAGTCAATATTTTTTGGTCAACCAATGTTAAAGTTAAATCCTCTTTATCGATAATTAATTCAATTTATAACAATTAAAATTTATATTTTCAAAAACTACATTAAAATCTCTTTAAAGTTGCAAACTCGAAATTAAATATAATTAAAATTTGACATCCTAATTAAGTGAATAAAATGAAACTATTTAACCAAGAAAAGTTAATTTTGCAAATCAATTTTGAACTGAGGTAGTATTACATAATTAATAAATCTCAGATAAACTATAGAAGTACTGATTTAAATGATTAAACCCTACATCGATCCGGTTCCAGGCTTCCTATGAACTAGCAAAGACGCTGAAAGTATGAAGACACTAGTCAAAGTAATGGTATAAATGTAAATTTAATTAATTATAAATACTTCGGTCCGGTTCGATCCGGTAGCGGTTCTCATTTTATGAGAACCGGTCATGACATTGTTTAGAACCGGTATGGTCCGGTTCAGGACAAAAAAATTGAGATCTGTTTCAAACCCCTTTTTTCTGTTCGATATCATACCGGTTTGGTTCGGTATCATGCCGGTTCGATATTTTTGGAATTTTGGACAGACCTAAAATACGTATACCAAACGCATTGTTCTAAAAATCGCTCTAGTCACCCGACTAGTCCCCGCCTAGGCGCTAGGCAGTGGTCGGGCGCCCCGATTTTGGTCTAGTCGTTCCGACTAATTGATTCGGCACTTAGGTGAATTTGTCGGCAGTCTAGGGCGCCTAGTTTCCCGTCCAAAACGCTTAATGGGCACGCCTAAGCGTCTAGATTCATCCACCAATTTTTTTAGTATAATGTACCAAATTTGAACCGACCGCCCCTGTAAATTCAATCCAGTTAACCTATTGTTCCTCATCCATTCATTCGAAGTCAATCAAAACGAAACGCCACCGAGTCACACAACCCTCACTTCTGTTGCCAACCTCTCACACTTTTCCCCTGTAAATATCCTGTCTCTGATTTTACGGAGTACATCGGGAAATCTTCAGCTTCCTCCATGGCTGCTGTATTGGAAACTATCACAGTTCCGCGTGCTTCTGCCTCCTTCTTGGCTCCGATTGCCGCTTCTTCCGTCGCCGGTCGCCGCAACTCTGTTAGGTTCTCCGACTTTAGAGGGTCTAAGATCCAGATTGCTCAGTCCTCTGCTTCGATTTCTTCCAGCTCAAAATTCTCTTCCCGCGGACGTCGGATCGTCTGCGAGGCCCAGAATATCGCTACTGAAGGTTAGTGATGTTTAGTCTTTGTCGATTTAAGTGTGGGGTGGGTATGCGGTTGAAAGATTTAATTTTTCGGTTGTGGATGATCTTTAGTATGTAATTTTGACTGTTCGGTTGACATGATTTCAGTTTTAAGCTTATCTGTGAGTTCTCAGGAGAATCAAATTACATTGGAAACTGGCTTCTACTTGTCATCTACATCCCAATGGGGAATTCGTGATTTTTAAAGCTAACTTTGACTATTATCACCCTAACTTGGAATGTTTTTGGCATGATGAATTCTATGAGCAGAAAGTGATTTACTTACTAATGACGAGAGTAACTAGGTTCCATAATACCAAACACCCGTTTATTGCTGCAGTTTATCACGCTAAAATTGTCTAGCTTCATGCCAGCCACCCAGCCATGCCACTATCACTATTTAATTTTTTGGAGAAGAACAATCCGTTCTCACACAAACATCAATTTGCTGCTGTGGACAGTTGGACACCAATCTGACTTGACCAATGATGCCAAAAACCTTACCAAATTGGTATGATGTGATGGCCTTGGGTTGGAGACCTGGAACTACCTCAAGAAGTTTTATTTTTTATCATTGGATTCTGACCTTATTTTCCTTTACTCATTTCTAATTGGGCGAACAAGATTGTACACATTTTAATATACATGTGAGAACCAGTGAGATGTGTGAGACACATGCAAATATGCATAAATTCGTTTTTCCTCTTTTCAATTTCGAGTTGCATTTCCTTTACTTAATACTTTCAATGCCCTATAGAGAGTCATGTTCCAAAGATTTTTTTTTCCTGAAAAAGAGCCCTATTAACCTATTTCATCAAACTAAACTAGTTTTTAAATTTCATTTACAACTCCTCAAACTGACCATGGAGAAAGGTTCATTCTCATCCACACCAAACACATTTGAGGGAAGAGCACTAATTGTCCCACATTTTTTTTTTGTAATTTTCTACTCATGCATCCAATGAATTAGTTCGGAACTCTGAAATATGAAAGACTTCCCAACCTTGTGCGAGAATTTTATCTCCACATCAAGTCCCATTCAGATAAATACAGCAGTTCAACTGGCTCGTAACGGAAGTTGGTGGCCATAAAATGATTAACTTCTCTCTCCCAGAAAAACTAGGCAAGCTTACTGCCGCTAGAAGTGGGCCGCTAACCTTCTTGTTTCACCATCTGTAATTCTTAAACGGCACTAATGAGAACCTGGTGAGAATGCTAAGTGAAGTTACGAGCTTTATCTTGCTGGAGAACTTATAGTTTTGTCACTGATTCACTGCTGGTCTCAGATCATGTTTTCCCAAGAAAACATAACAGTGACCACGTTATGAAATTAGAATGCTCTTTCATACATTTCCTCAAAATCAAATTCTCGAACCGGAAAACGGTTATTTTTGAACACATGAAAGTGATGAAACTGTGAAAATCAAATCCAACATTCCTTGGAGAAGATTAATAAGTTGGTATCTTATTGTTCAACTCAAAATCATGGTCACCGTGGATGGTACAAGTGTTGTCACAATGCTCTCTTTAACGAGAACTTTTGATTTGTCCAATTCTAGAATGTTGGTATCATTGGATACCTAATGGAGATTGAGGCCCTTGCATTACTTGAGGATTTACAGCCTGTCTGTGTCCAACCTATTATGAAGAGAGCTCGTTGTTAACTCTCCACTTGGCTAGGTCAATAACATATGCGTTTAACGGACAACATTTCTTCTTTCTCTGGCTAAGCCATGACACTCTACTGTGCCTCATTTCCATTCCATGGTCACCATGGTGTCCTAGTTCCTCTTCGGACTTTACCACCTAATTATTGCTGTTGTAAGGATAAAAAAATCATGTGAGGATAACTTCGGCACCTCTAATTGGTTATAGCAACGCAGGATTTGGTGGATGGCATATTAATAAATAAGCACTAGGGGTACAAGTTAATTTCTAGACCATGCCTGAGTGTATTGGTCGTTCTTAGAGCAAAATTTGGTTGTCTTATTTACCACCAGAGCAGAATACTTTGCTTTTTGCTTGTATTATTTGGATGTAGCATACACCCAAGGGTTATAATATTAATTTCTTGAATGTGCCAATGTTCTGTGATAACACTGTGCAATCAATATTTTTCAAGAGAACATTGGAACCAATTTAATATATGTCAGTACTTAAGGGTACCCCAAACCTATATTGGGACATGTGTCTAATCAATAAACATACATTTAGTGGTGTTGAGATTGCACTCCTCTGGACAGTATATTATTGATATCAAGCACCCAAAGGTATATGCGAGAGCATAATATCGGGTGCGCATGAAAGATTTATCCTCTACCAAAGCGAAGAGTTGTACACTTGTACCTTGACAAAACTTATAAGTCGTGCTTTGACCAAATAGGACTCTCTTTAGGAGGGAGTTGAATGAATAAGAAGCCTAAAGATGCAATGTCCTCTCAAACCAAAGAGCTCTCCATCAGATAATTTAACTTGTTCTCAAAATCTACTTTGTATTTCTTAAGACTACTTGTATTTTTTATTCTTTGTGTAAACAATTAAACATTATTTGTTGTGTGGGGGTAGAAACTAGAAATGTCATTTCTTGGTTGCAATCATGTTTCTGTCAGTTCTGTGCTTCATACGTGAAACGATATTTTTAGCTGCCACCTTTGCCATGAAAACTTTTGTTTCTTTTTTGAACTGTACAGAGTGATGAATATCAGCCTCTTCATCCGTAATCTGTTAGTTTGGCGCTGTTAACAATTTCACTGGTGACTCCATCTCATTATTACATGAGTACATGACAGAATTGTTCATTACTTTGATAGTGTCTGCTGGAGTATGCTAACCCTGATTAGTGATGACCATCCATGGACCATGAGATATAGTATAGGGTATTATCTTTTGTTGTGCTTCAACAAAATATTACCTCTCTATCTGCGTATTGCTTACTATTTGAGTTTCTCTCAGCAGTTGTCATTTTTTAACTCATTTGAGCATTGGCACCTGTCAATCTGTCATGCTGCTATTACACACTAACACACATTTGCACATCAACTATTTTACTGCCCTCCGATGTGATTCACATATTGTTTTTGAATTGCTCTTGACTTCTTGCTACTTCTGAGGTCATCTTATCTGAAATTTGCAGTTCCAGCTGTCTCTGACACGACATGGAAGTCACTTGTTCTTGACTCTGACCTTCCTGTTCTTGTTGAATTTTGGGCGCCATGGTGTGGTCCGTGTCGGATGATCCATCCAGTTATTGATGAACTAGCGAAGGAATTTGCGGGTAAGCTTAAATGCTACAAGGTAAACACGGATGATTCCCCATCAATTGCAACAAAATACGGAATCCGAAGCATCCCAACTGTCATGATATTCAAGGACGGGGAGAAAAAGGATGCAGTGATTGGTGCAGTTCCCAAAACGACTTTGTGCACCTGCATAGAGAAGTTCTGTTAAATTTGCTGGGTGGTAGATTCAGCCTTGTGCTATTTATTTAAACTCATCAAGCTTTTATTTTATGGTTATGTCTCTATAAAACTGCAGTTATGGTCCTGTATAGTTTGAACTTTGAACATTGACTGTATTACTAGCTGTTCCCTTTAAGATGATATTAGTAAATGCATAGTCTTGAAGCTAAAGTAGTTTGTTTTGCTTTGTGATTTCATTGTTGATTATGCAAACAAAACATGCTAAAAAACTTTGTTGTTCAGCCTCTGAATTCATTAGGAGAATACGACCAACACAAAGTTGAAGTTGCATATTAACGTGTTCTGGTTTCATGTTGCGAATGTGAAGTTGGCAGTATAAGCATGCGTTGTTTATGTTTGGTATATTGTTCTACCCCTGTTCTAATGTTATATTTGTTCTATCCTATGTATACATAGCACCGATACGGGTACGCGGAAACGGGTACAGGGATACGACAAAACAAAAAATAGTAGGATACGGATACGGGGTCATATTTATAAATATTACCCCCTCTGTCCCGAATTATAAGATACTTTTCGGTTTACGATGTTTGACCGACGATAAAGCAAATAGATTCCTGTCTGCACTCAAATTATTTTTAGAAAAAACAAATTACATATTCAGAAACTACATTAAACTCGCTACAAAACTTGTAAAAAATAATTCAAATTTCATAAAATTTTGATGTATAAAGTAAGAGATTAAGAGTGATTTGTGTTGACCAAGCGAATAGTAAAGATATCTTATATTATAAAATGGGACAGAGAAAGTAAAAGTTATTGGGGTGTATTTATAAATATTAAAAGTTATAGGGGTGTATTTATAATTATTAAAAATACAATTTTTTTTGAAAAAATACACATATATTATCTAGGGGTGGACTCGGCACTACTAGAAAAATGGCCTACAGTGACACCAAATTAGTGTCACTGAAAGTTTCTGTGACACTAAAAAAGTGTCAATGAAAGTGGGTTCTAGTGACACTAAAAAAGTGTCACTAAAAGTGTCACTAAATTATGACACTATAGTATCATCAAATTATGACACTACGATATCACAAAACATTATGATACTTTGGTATCACAAAACTCAATGACACTATGGTATCACAAAATTCAATGACACTACGGTATCACAAAATTCAATAACACGCTAATACTATGAAATCATACACATGATACATTGATTACAATCATAATTTAATACTAATAAATAACCAAAAGTTCAAATGTTTTTTTATTTATATATCAAATTCTCACATAAATGTAAATGTACATTCTACATAATTCATAGGGACATATCCCGAAACGACAAGTAAAAAACAACAAAATGCTAACAAATCCAACTTTTACCCTATTCTTCACGGGGCCTTCAAATTCTTCTTATACGTAGAAATCATATCTTCTGCTGCAATGAATGAAGCCATCATTCTATTACAATGTTTGCCCTCAGACTTCTTCATTACTGGACACAAGGCACGTGGATGATGGACCGGTTCCTCAGTTGTTATAGTCAGAGTTACTAATGTGATTCCCTGACTGCTCAATAAAAATTCACAGGAACCATAAGCCACACCAACACAAGTAGTAAGTTTTCAATAAAAAAAAGTGACAAAAGAACATATAAACCCCTATTACAAAATACAGGCGCTTTTATTACTATGTAAGTGATGGATAGTCTACCCGGGGGGTATCTTATCCGAGGGGTTATTGCGGGAACAACTTAGAGAGAAGTCAGAGCAAAATAGGAGGAGAGAGAGTCGATTTTATTAAATGAACTCGAGATGTGGAGTTGAGATGTCGATTGTCTTTATTACAAGGAGAAATAGGCTGCTATTTATAGCAGCAATAAATGCGATGAGGGGACACGTGTCAGTAATCCAACGGCCGAAGGGTCACATCAGCCTAGTGGTGCTGGCAGTGGTACGTCAACCGCATTGAATGCGGTTGGCGGATGTGACGTGGCATTAAATGCGGTGGTTGGCTGTCTCTAAAAGGAATCTTCGATGATTGAGCCTGTTCAGCCGAAGGCTTATTGTGTTAGCCGAGGGCTCCCTGGTGTGGCCGGGGGCTAGGTCCAGCCGAAGGCTTCTTGTGTAGCCGAGGGCTCATCGTGTTGCCGAAGGCTCTTCGTGTAGCCGAGGGCGTAAGAATGCCGAAGGCTCATGTTTTTCGCCGTTTTCTCCCAGTAGCTTTTTATGCTAGAGAAGGCTATCCTGTGAGTTTCCGGAGCCTTCGGCCAGGGAGGCCGAAGGCACCCCAGTATGTATTTCGGGCTATTTCGGGGCTTGGGCCGTTGCTTTTGGGCCTGAGTTGTTCTCTGGGCTCATTGGATATGTGTGGCAGAAGTAGGAGTCTATGGGCCGGGGGTTCTTGGGCCATATACTCCATCAGGAGTCCCTCACTCCTTTTGCCGAAAGGTACTTGAGGGAAAAGGAGTAGTCGTGTTGATTCTCCCGGAGGCTGCATCATTTCGTTGGGTGCCTTTGTTGGAGAATTCGTCTTCTGCTGATTGCCGAAGGCTTCCCTCAGGCCCTCACATGTCGAGTATTTCCTGAGGGAAGGTATTCGTAACCTTCGCATGTTCGCCGGGGGCTCTCCTCAGTCCCTCACATGTCAAGGGCTTTCTGAGGGCAGTGTAACATCTGTATGACTGCAGAAGGCTTTCCTCAGTCCCTCACATGTCGAGGGTTTTCTGAGGAAAGCGTAGATGTATTGTCTGCATGTATTGTGATGAGAGGTGCTTCATTGCCACAAGTGGCTTGTGGGAAAGTTTTGATATTTCGTTGTTGCCGAAGGGTATATTGAGTTATGTGCCCCGAGGGGTTCCCCTGTAATGTCTGTTTGAAGGCTTCATGTGTCACTTGCATGTCACTAGTAATTTTTGCTTATGTGAGAAACTTTGTTCAGTGTGATTCCCGAGGGGTGTGTCCCAGTCCCCCACTCCTTTAGGCCGAAGGCAAGTTCGGGCTGAAGGAGTCATGCTGAGTTGATGAACCCCCCGAGGGGTGGTTACATTGATAAGCCGAAGGCCTATGTTGCTATGGGCTCGAAGGCGTTTGGTGGAATTCGTTGCCTGAAGGCTGTGGTGAGTGATAGCCGGAGGCTATCATTCGGGGGCATCCCAGTGTTTCTGAAATATAGCCGTTGCAATATGGCCGTTGGAAGAGGGGTTGACGTGGCATGCCTCCGTTGGTCGGTGGGGGGCGGGTGCTATCCATTGGTTGAACCGGCGGCCCGTAATGATGGGCTTTCAAATCGAGGCCCATATATCGAGGCCCAGTTGCCTATAAATACCCTGAGCCTGAGCTCATTTGTGCTTGCGCGATTTTGAGAGATAGCGAAGCTCTGGCAATTTGATTCTAGAGAGAGAAAGTTCCCCTCGATCAAACTTAAGTTTTCCTTCCGCCCCAAGGTCAGTTCTTCGCCTGTTCTTGAGCTCCTTAGTAGATTTTGCTTTTTCCTTCTTTGATTTAGTGTTTAGCGAGTTTCTAGGGAGCTTTCGGTTAGGGCTTTAAGTAACCTTCCCCTTTAAATCCTTCAACTTCTCTCCGGTAGAATGTCAACCCAAAGCGACTCTCAAGATCTCTCGAGGGAGCCCTCAGTGCAACAAGAGGGCTATTCGGACGTGGAGTCCTCGAGTGAGACCTCCTCGGACAATAACGATTCCGCAGTGGCGCAGGAGGTCCAAGATAATCTCAGAACCGAGGCCGAAGCTGAAGACTTCGAGCAAGTCGTTGAAGACGAAGAACTTGCCCTCGCCCTCCAAGTGGCTGAAGAAGAGGAGGAGAGGGAGCGACAGGAGGTGACAGTCGCCGTCTTGCCCCTCCGTGGTTCAGGGGAGACGAGTACCTCCCGGCCTCTGGACCCGGAGCCCCTGAGTGTAGCCCTCGGAAAAAAGAAGAAAAAGAAGTCAAAAGCCCCTCAGAAGAAGAAGCAACCTGCAGCAGATTGCGGGAAGCCCGTGGGCATACCCGAGGGGCATTCATGGCTGAACACCGCCGCCCTCGCGTTGAGATCGAGAGCCGATCGAGCGGAGTGCTATGTCACTCAATTGCACGTGGGGCCTTCGGCAACAGTGATTGAACCGGGGCCTAATGATCTCCTGTCCCAGGCTCCGGAGGGATGTTTTGCGGTCCATGTGTTGTCGGTGGCCATGGGCCTTCGGTTCCCGCTGCACCCTTTTCTTCTTGAGTACCTGAGGTATGTAGGTTTAGCCCCCTGCCAGCTCACCCCGAACAGCCACTCTTACATAACCGGCTTCCTTCAGCTTTGCCGGTCCCGAGGTGTAACGGCGACCCTCGATCTCTTTTTCCAGAGCTTCAACCTTTGCCGAGGGGGGCATACCAATTCCGAGGGGTTTGCAAACCTGCAGCAGCTTGCCCCCTGGAGGCTTTTTGACGATGTACCTTCGTCCCACAAAGGATGGAAGGACCGCTTCTGCTATGTCAAGATGGCAGTAAATCCGTTCCCGGGGGAGTTGCGCAATCACTTCAAGAGGCACCCGAAGGTGGGAAATGCCGCACTTCAGAAGGACGGGAAGAAGATTGCCGCTCTGCTACCGGGGGCCACAAAGCATGTGACCGTCAAGGATTCCACTCTCCCCGAAGACTTGCTGGCCCTAGGCTTCCGTCGGTACCGTTTTTTGGGCGAGAAGGATGAACAATACCCAGTCCTTGAGAGAGCCTTCGGTGGCAATGGAGGTAGTTACCGGAGGGTCCGCTTTATTGTACTTAGGATATTTGCATGTTCTTATTTCTCTTTCCCCGTCTTTTGAACCCCTTGGTCTGACCTCGCTGTTTGTTTTGCAGGTGTTAGCATGGACGTCTCCAGCTTTGCTGCTCTGAAGAAGAAGCTGGCCAAGGAGCCGAAGAAAAAGAAGGAGACGGGGGTTCAGAAACCCGTCGATGATTTCTTCCGGAAGGATGGGGCTGTTCAAGTCCCGGAGGGTGAGGGACCCTCTCAAGCTGTCGATGCCGGTGCTGGTGCCGGGGGCTCCAAGGCGGAGCAAAAGAGGAAGAACTCCGGCAAGGGCGTGATGCCTCCGGAGAAGAAGAAGAAGAAGGGGGGGGCCGAGAAGAACGACGCCCCCATTGTCGTTGTCGAAGAGCACTCTTCTTCCTCCCCCGCAGAAGATGTCCTCCCTCCTCCCGGGGGCCAAGATAACAGTCTGGCTTGGCCCCGGGATGATGTGCGGTTCTCTATCACCAAGGGAACTGCCATCATGCACGGCACCCTCAGCCCGAGGGAGTTCCTAAAGGGTGCCACGCCCCCGACTGACAAGTCGGTGC